TGGGAGATGTCCTAAATATTGCTAAGGGAAGTCAAACACTGACTTGTAGTCTGGGTGGCAGGTACAACATATAATAATCTGTATATATGTGTGTGAGTTCTCTGTGAGACAAATGCTATGTAGGATATTTTATGGTGACAAACAGAGAGGCTTTGGAGACAGAAAACTGGGTGCAGGTCTCGATTCCTAGCTTCAGTGTACTCATCTACTAAAACACGTCATCAATAACTGGTTGGTGGTGTTATCATGAGACTAGGTGAAGTAATATCCAGTGACTGGAACCTGGTAGGTATTCAAAAGTTTAAGTTCAATCTCTTTTAATGTATTATCCACTGACAGAGCTGATCAGCTTCATATTTTGTTGTGTGGGAGGTTTTTAAAATCTACTTTTCAATTCCCCAAACCTACTTCAATCATGATGATGGATCTGTAAAATGTACATGTATTCTCTTAGCAGAAGGTCAGTGAAAAGAAGCTTTAAAATATTTAAAGTCTGGATTAAGATGTGGAACAATTAAACTAAAATTCACATTTTTTTTTAAGACTCTGCTAACACTAATGATGGTTTTAAACAGCAATCTCATTTACAGTAAGCTGTTTCTTGTCAGGCAAGCAGCGAGGAGTGAATTTGATTACCTATATACATTCTCTGTGGTCAGAAACTTAATGCTGAGACTCAGCAGGGGAGAAAGACAAGTCTGAAGAGCGAATTGGCTTGGAGTGTCCTTTGTAATAAAGGGAACCTTTTCCAAGAAATTTTATCTGAAAGTTAAGAACTCCTCTGAGAGTTTTGCCATCAACTCAGCCTGGTGCTATTATTTTGTTACTGAGACACTTAAACTTCTGTTTTTCTTATCCCTTACGGAAGAATCAATAGTTTAAAATTAGAGCAGAGGGTAGCGGCTCTTGAGTGTTAATCTGAGTTTGGTATTGAGACTTCAAAGATGCTGTCAGCAGCTTCTCAGCCATGTATTAAACTTTTTATGGACTCACTGGATTGCTTTTAGGAAAAAAAGTTAAAATATGCCATAGGACAGGTTTTAATAAAATATGACACAAAAGAGTTTTTTAAAAACAGTATCTACTTTTTCCCGTAATCAGCAGTATGTTATTGTAGATATATTTTGAGATATGTGCCAAGTTCCTAATATTTTCTCCATCTCTGGAAATGAGTGTCTCCCCATATTATCCTAGGGGTTGGGTCCCTAGTAACCATATTTATACTGTGTGAACTTCACTCCTACACTCCTCTCACCACTGGTGGCTGATGAGTGGTAGATCTCACACCGGGTTTTCAGAAACCTGCCCTGTAGGCATAGCTGACTGACTGGTGTTAGACACCTGACAACTTGGATGAGCATGATTCTCCCACCTGGGGATCCAGCTTAGGACTCAGAGCCAGACAGCCAGTCAGCATCGGTAGGTGATGAGAACTGGACATGTAAACGTGGCAGCCCTAGGATGGACATATTTTACCAAGATCTGATGGCATTCCTATTACTGGACATCATGACTCTATATTCAAACAACAACCCTCCCCCCAAGTTTGTTTGTTTACTTATTTATTTATTACTAAAAGAAGATAAAATTGCTTCTGCTATTTGTAATCAATGATGCCCAGTTAATTCACCAAACGTAGGTAAATGTCTATGACTTCCACGGGTTCATAGCTTATTCCAGGCAGAAATTAAAGAATATCATACATGATGGAATTTTCTATAATAGTTACTTTTTGTTGAGTGCCTATAATGTTCTAGGTACTTATGCACGTTTATAAGTGCCTATGAATATTTATTTCTAGTATTCAGGGCAGTCTTGTGAAGCTGAATTGATTACTCCATTATACAGAAGGGAAATCCAAGCCTCAGAATGTTTATAAGTTACCAGCTGGTGACAAACCTAGAATTCATACCTCGGGATGCTGCTGTGTGTTTCAAAAGTCAGGTCCTGCCCACCCAGAAACGCAACAGAGGTTCCTAAAGGCCAGACACCTTTAATGGGATCTCGGGCTAAATTTCCAACTCCCCCTGTGGTACACCTCCTTTCAATAAACGATGCTTCGATTTAACCCAGTTGTTCAGTTCAAGGATCAGTTTACCCTTCACGTCACAAAAGTCACACAAATTATCTTTTACTCCTTTTTCTTTTTCACCCATCTTACATCTATTCCGTCAAATCATTTTCAGAGAACACTCAGAGTCTGATCTCCTCTCAGCCCCTCCAAGCCATCGTTTTGTCAGTGGAAAATATTGCAATGAGTTACTCACCGGTCTCCCTGTTTCCACTCTGGTGGCCACCCCCTTCCCATATTCTGTTCTCAGTGATGTATGCAGAATAAATCTTTTAAAACATAAATCTGATCACGTCACTTTCCTGCTCGAAACTTTCCAATAGCAGCAGGAATTGGCCTGTCCATCCCTGGACCTTATCTACGCCCTCCCCTCACACAGGCTGCTCCAGCTTCCGTGTCCTCCTGCTGATCCCCAAGCATTTCAAGCAGGTTCTGTTTCAGGGCATTTATGCTTGCTGTTTCCTTCAGCTGGGATGCTCTTTGCAGAGGCAGTCCATTGGCCTGGACCCTCACTTAATTTAGGCGCTTGCTGAAGTCTCCACTTTAGAGAGAACTTCCCTGACTGCCCTTTTTTGTTTCTGGGAAAGAGTCACCCTGTGCTAACACCTGTTGCCAATCTTCTTCTTCTTCTTTTTTTCCCCCTTCCCAAAGCCCCAGTATATAGCTGTATATCCTAGTTATAAGTCCTTCTAGTTCTTCTATGTGAGCGCCATCACAGCATGGCTACTGACAGATGGGTGGTGTGGTTCCGCGACTGGGAACCTGACCTGGGCCAATGAAGTGGAGCACACCGGACTTGAACCACTAAGCCGTCAGGGCTGCTCCCTAACTGCCCATTTTAAAGCAGTGCCCTCCGCCCGTCTCTCTCCAGAGCACTTAGCTCCATCTGGCATTACTTTATTCATTTACTGATATATGCTTGTTTTCTGTCTCCTCCCATTAAAATGTCAGCTTTAGGAAAGCAGGTATTTGGTCTGTCCTGTTCACAGCTATGTCTCCAGAACCTTCACAACAGTGCCTGAAATAATATGGAGGCTCAGTAAATGACTGAGTGAATGAATCAAAGGGATTTGACAAAATCTAGGTAAAAGATTCAGATTACATGGCTTTAAGTATTTTCTTTTACTCATTCTAGGAAGTACTTCCCCTCCTGGATTTCCCACTCAGGATATAACCCTTCTCACCCATGTTCCTATAAATTCTTTAGACTTTTGCCTCTGACTCTTACTTGCCTGGTACTCCAGGAATTTCTTCATTGTAAATCAGAGTGCATGTGAAAGGCTGCACTGTTTTCGCTGCTACATGAAAGGCTATGATGTTCCGCCAACCTTGCTCTCTTTTATCAGTGTGCTAGATGCCCTGAAAATTCTTTGATTAATAACAATCTTGACCACTATTATGCGAAAAGTTTTTCTCTCTCTTTTAATTTTTGAAATAAGATTTGACTCTTTACACCCCTGTCTGGAAGACAAAAACACCATAGTGGGAAGGTATACAAAGATAGCAGAGCTAAAAGATTCCTCAGAGATAAAAAAGAATGATCCCATCATCCGTGTTGGGGATTTTTAACTCATTCATTGAACAAGTACTTATTTTTTACATACTATGTCTCCGGAAGAGATGGCAGAAACAGGACTAGGCTCTGTGTTTCCTGACGTGTGGGCTTGTTTACAGGGTAGAATATGTTTTCTGCTTCTGATTTCTCAATTTTCAGATGCTGAAGATTTTAAATATTGGTACTTAATGTATAATAGATACTTTAGATGAACACATTTCATCTTTTCCAGTAGAAAAGGATTTCCAAAAATTTTTCTTTACCCTTGCAGATATTAGTCAATGTTTCACATTTAAGGAGCAACATTATTCCTAAAAGCTAACATACTCTAAGCATTATTACATTCTTAATGACACCTTACCGACTATGTTCACTTTATTTTAGGATCAAGTTTTGCTTGGTTATTAACCAGTCCATAAAACATTTCTGTTTTGAGTGCCCAGCATGTGACAGTAACTGTCCTTGAAGAGTTTATATTTAATTAGTAATCATTCACAGAGGATGTTTAAGAGGACAGCATGTCTGTGGGTGGTTGAAGGAAACAAACACCTGGATCTGGGGATGAGCATGCTGAGGAGGTTAAAGGCAAAATGAACCTCTTCCTAGGACAATGATCCGGCTGGCATCAGTTCAGTTTAACATTTACAGTGACTTACTATGGTTACACAAATGAATAGGAAACTGTCCCTTTTCACAATTTTTGTAATATAGTAGAAGAAATGGATACAGGGACTAGCATACATGTGACTAGTGGACTAAAGACGTAGACGAAAGGTCAAAGGGTGTATCAAGCGATACAGTGATGGGAAAGGGGGGCAATGCTTAGAGACACTGAATTTCTTCTGTTCATTCTATATTTGTTTGAGTTCTTCATACCTGCCAATTTCAGACCTTTCATACAGTGAAAGAGAGAGTAACGATGTTTAAGTGAAAGACCAGCCACACTGTCTTACATTATTACCAAAGTTTATAATACAATCACATTATATTTAAGTATTTCCGAGTGAGTTTTATGCTAATCTTTATCACGTCGCAGAAGAATCTTGTAAACATATGATGATGCACATTATCCTCATAATTATTTCCATTTTGAAATTGACCATGTCTTCTAAAGGTAAGAAAACCTCAGGACAGTTTGATTCTTAAAATGCAAGCTCTGTAACTGGTACTAACAACAATGATGGCACCTGTAAAATGAAAGCTTTTCCAAAATGCTCTCATTTAAATGTACTGCTTAAACTCTGTTGCAAATGACATTTGTTTTCTGCAATGAACATCATCTGCTATGTTCATGGTATATGAACGTATTTGAGGCTTAGCTTGTTATTCAGTCCGTTTAGTCTTCCTAACAATGGATTTCTTGAGGGTACTTACATATTCCTCATAAGTCTCGTGGGCTGGAGGAGGGGGTGCCCTGTATCCTGGCACTGTTGGTGCCCCCCTGGCTCGTGGGGTAGGGACACCTCTTGCTACAGGGGGCACTGGAAGAGCTCCACGGGTCACAGTGGTCCCTCGAGGGGTGAGCACACCTCGTCCAGGTGGCGGGGGAGGAGGAATGGCACCCCCACGGCCCCTAGGACAAACAGGTCATGTACAAATCAGAGACAAGCAATGAGAGAAAGAGACTAAAACAGATAAAACTCCCAAACTATAGCCTCCATATCATGGGGAAAAAAAGCAGTGATCTCTGCATGCATGTATGTGTAAGTGTGTGTATGAGACAGTAGGTGTGTGTGTTTGTGAATGTGTGTGTGAGACAGTATGTGTGTGTGTGTGTTTAACTGAGATTCTTTAGGATGTAAAGCAATTTGACTTCCATAGAATAAATTTTGTAAATACTGGTTTTGAATTAGTTATCATGAAAACCATGTAAAATAGTGTCATATATTCTTTCATAAAACACAAAAACAAAACTAAACCAAGCAAACAAACAAAAACCAACTCCCTCTCGTTTTATTCCAAATTTTCCAAGAAGACCCAAATTAGAGCATCGTCTAATATACGAGTCACTGGACCATCTATGAAAGTGAGCTGCTAAAGGTCTGTCTCCTCCCTGCAGGAGGTTATTGACATTGATATGCAATGCTGTCATCTACAAAAAAAAAAAAAAAGATCTGCCTGCACTTCAATACTTTAATAAAATGAGGAACTCTAACCACGGTGATATCATTGTGTTTATTATAGTAGCTTAAGCTTGAGGTCACTTGAAATCACAACTCATTGTCATTGATTTAGCATCATGCATGTAACCCCCCGAACCGGTACCGTCTCTGATATAATTTATTTTCCTGTGGTAACTATGGTGCTAGTGAAAGACATTAGGATTCTGCAAAAAAGGACAGACTGAATACTCGGTACTATAGTGCTTGACACAAAAGCAACTTGTACTAAAAGCCTAAGATCAAATGGGTGCAGCCAACTTTTATGGTATTCGGAGGTCTCTGGAAAGGTTGAGTGTTTGTCTGAAGTCTTTGGGCAAAAGCATGGTTATTTCATTTTTTATGATGTCTGAAAGGCTGGCCTCCAGAAAGCACTGCTTTGAGCAGGAACACTAAAGCTTTGGGGAAAATGATGATCACTGGGATGTCAACAGTCCCACAGTTTGGCTGTGCCCACAGGTGGGGATGTCTGTGACGCTTTCTGTGTGAATAGCAGTCGGCTGGCTCTTTCTTGCTTGTGGAGAACGAGGTTGTATGAGTGAACAGTAAGAATGCTGGTAAAGCTTTTAACAGTTTTAAATAGATTACAGCGCTGATGAATAGAGAAATTATCAGAGAACTTATTGTGAGGCTAATGTAAAGAGGACCCTCTCCTGGATTGAGGAAAGGTGAAATACAAAAGAGCCAGAAGGCCCAGTGCCGCTTCAAGCACAACATAGCCGAGAATACAATATTCTTTATTATCATGATAATATAAAAACACATGTATAAAAAAGGATGGGACGACCAATTTTACCTTCCCTGGGCCTCTAAGCACCTATCTGTTTCCCAGTAAGGAGAGTGAGCGTAAGTCCCGGTTTGCCCAGAATAGTTCTGATTTACAACTGCTGTCCCAGCCGCCTGTTCAGTTTGGCATTTTAACACTCTCAGAAGTGTCCACGTGTGGATAGTAAGTTATATGTCACCCTACTTTAAACTATATCTGCATGTCCTGGCTATACCACTGAATAATCACAGGTAAGGATTATAACTCTCTGGGTCTGAAGGGAATGTTTTCGTAATGGGGTAAAATCAGATTTCTGAATCTGTAACAATTCTTCCTGCTTTTAAATTATGTGATGCTCACATGAAATCTAATTTCTCATTCCATCCCTTCATCAACTGTCTGCCAGACACAGCCCCAGAAAACCTGCCTCCTGTCTGTCTGTCTGTCTCATTGCTCTAATTCTTCCCTATCACTCACAGGGATGAATGAGTAGTCTTTCCCAGAAACAAATATAATTACGACCTCTTTAACAAACTCCATTAGTGCTATGTATTAGTCCTCATTGTAGTAAACAAAAGCCTTCAAAATCTGCCGCTAACATTTTATTTTCCACTGTTTGCTCTCACTCCACATGTAGTGGTGATGTGTTAGAGATGTCACACATCTCACTTCTTCAATCATGTAATATACATTATTATAATGTAAGATGTAATGCTTTGTTCTCTGGTATGCATTTTTATTGGAAGATTAGATAGTTTTCATAGATATGTTTAATGAAATGTAAATTCCTTTAATTAAATACATTTTCAACAAATTATTATAGAAGTTTTAAAATATCCCAGGCATAATTCCTTTTGAATATAAGTAACTGAATAGTCATACTTTCGTAAGAATTCACAAATTAGCATCAATTAGCTCATGTTTTCAAGAGCTTTCTGATCAATATGATTTTCTGTTGTGTGAAGTTTTTTCCTTATTCCTTTTTTTTTTTCTTTGCTGAGGAAGACAAGCCCTGAGCTAACATCTGTTGCCAATCTTCCTCTATTTTATATGTGGGTCACCACCACAGCATGGCTGATGGGTGGTGTAGGTCTGTGCCCAGGATCTGAACGTGTGCACTCAGGCCACTGAAGTGGTGTGTGCCAAACTTAACCACTAGGCCATGGGACTGGCCCCTCCTTATTCCTTTTTAACTGCAGATACATTTCATCATGTGGTTTGAAATAGAAGACAACAGAGTTCTGTTCCATTTACTTTCATTAATGTTAATATATTGATGGTATCAATATAGCATTGGAAGTGAAGTTTAAGTTCCAATATTAATTTTCTTGTCTTTTTAATATGCAGTATCAGATCAGTATGATTTATGGGATATTAAAAATCAAGGGCTTTCAATGAAATTTTTCTTCTAAGATAGTGAAAACCCCAGATCACAATGCACTATTCTTTACTAGATCATTAAAGAGATTACTATTTTAGAATAAAATATTTACTAAATTGAAATCCTATATGGTCCACTCAAATATGGCAAATGTAGTGTTACACTGAGGAACATCAACACCAAAACAAAATCTATTAATACGATGATTTTATAATCTTGAAAGCAGGTTAGTGCAGTATTTTTAAAAAATGGTTCCAATTTCAAGGACTATGGAATACAAACAAGCTGTCTCCTCTGTAGACATGCTAAATATATACTTAGGTTACATCACATAAACTGACAAAAGTGGCATTTTTTTGAACTATAAAAGTGATAATTTCATGATTCAAACCATACGATTTCATCAATTTAAGATTACCCGCAATGATGTCGTTTCACAACCCATCATGAAATTAGAAATGTACAAGGTTTTATAAAAGGCTGATTCCATAAAAAAGTATGACCACAAAATAAAGTTATGTCACATTAATTCTTAGCAATAAATAAATGTTCCTGGATAGCACTAGAAAGCTATGTTTTTTATTTTTTTAAGATAAAAATGTAAAAAATAAGCTCTAGAACATTTTCAGAAGCTTTTCCTTTAATCAAATGTAATTTCCAGAATTGGCATGTTTTACCTTTAGACCTTTATTGCCCGGGTTATACATTCATCATTCTTAACTTTTTTTTTTTCTGATAAGTGTGAAATCGAGATGTTTATGATTTAAATATTAAAACAGCTGTCTTTTGACAGTGATGGTTAAAAATATTTGGGGCATAATTTAATAAATAAATTGAACCAGCAAAGTGTCTTAGAATCTCTTAAGATGATTTCTCTGCAACGTAAGAAATAATATTCTAGATTGATGTCCTTTAGAGAGTTGAAGGCCAACTACAAGAGGGTGAAGGCAATGACTGAATCACATTGTGTGTGTGTGAAGGCTATGAGTACTTTCTGCTTTAATTCTTGTCAAAGCAAGGCTTCCTGTTGAAAGCTTGACAAATTCAGAATTCTACAAAGCAAATCCCAATGCAGAAAGATTCCAATTTCTTTGCAAAGTGACCGACGTCAAATAAAATTCTCTGATGACCAAGGACATTGCAAAGTCAAATGTAACTGAACTTAAATACTCTTAGCATAGGCCATGCAAGAATTGTGCTTCTGGCTTTCTGGACTGGTGGTATATATATATTATCTACCTATCTATCTAAATATCTTCTATCTATCTATCTATCTTTCTGTCATCATCACCTATCTCTCTACCTATCTGGCAAGACTACTTCAATTCAAGGGCCACTTAAGACACAAACAAAATTTGTAACTTTCTTCGTGTGCAAGGCCATCCTGGTTCAACAAGGCAAATGACTGTATCATCTGATGTCCTAATCATGGGGACAGGCACAAGAGTAGGAAGTCTCAGGTGTGCTCTTATTTTCTTAGGATAGTCATTAAGAGCTCAAACCATGAATTCTGGAGTCAGACTGTCTGTGTGACCTTTGGGCAAATTCCTTACACCTTTCTGTACCTCAATTTCTCAGCTGTAAATAATACTTAACCCTGGTATGGAGGATTTGACGAGTTGATTTACGAAAGTTCTTGTGTGCTCTATAAACATTTGCTGTATTGCTTTTGTGGTGGTGGTGGTTACTGTTGCTGATGCTGCTGTTGTTTACTCCTAACTGGGATCATGACACAGAGCAAGCCAGCAAAGGACTGCCATCCTCATTTGTTGTTAATTTATTCCAAGTATGAACTAATGTACCTTGAAGGAGTTGTGGGAGCTATTCTGATCCCTCTGCCTCTAATACCTCTGCCACGACCAGAGTCCTCTGAGCCATTTAAGTAAGACAATTCACGTAGTTGTTCCTGACGAATTTCATCATTGTAGTCCTAGAAGAAAAAACATGACCTGATGAGTTAAAATGGGGCATTGGATTCTTAGAGCTGAACAAACACAGTTAGAAAGGAAATTTTCCATTTATTTTCTGGAGCCTAGTATATGAAAATCCAAAATGACGAAAAAGTGAATATACTTTAAATTCCTATTTTTATAAAGAGAAATTGAAGTTGCTTGTTTTATCAAGGAAGTATTCAGCAGGAAATCAGATGAGATTTGTTGGGATATCACTTGATGTGTTACCCAGAAAAAGAAAGATGGCACTATAGAACAAGATCTTGGAATGTACCAAGGTTATGACTGTCAACATGAGGATTACTAAAAAAAGCAACTTTACTGGGATGAATATGTGTAGATTATGAATGACTGCATGATACTCAAATATCTCCTGATGCATAAACTGAAAAGGGGCAATCTCAAGTCCCTAAGTAGGTACCGTGTGAAAACCATAAAGAAGTGCAAATAAAGATAGCACAGTTTCAGATGATTGGTAAGCTGTGAGTTCCAACCAAACAATTTGATGGGCAATGTTTAAGAATGAGGAACTTTCCATGTGTTCTACCGTTGGGCTGATGGAAAGTGGTAGCCATAGCATAAGGCAAATTACACACAGTAATAACCAGAGATTCAGTCAAAGAGACAATCTCTATCCTTCATCAGTGTGAAAAGGTAACAGTCATTTCAGTGGGACAAGAGAGTGGATCTGAGTCACTAAAGATGAATGCTATCTTCAAAAAACAAACGACAGTATCACCTGTCTCTCATTTTACTAACATAGACACATACACACCCCACCCTGGTTGAACAGTACAAAACTGAGTAATTGGTTACTTTTGCCAAATGGCCAATCTGATGAAGTTCTTTTCCAGTACACATATGTTTAAGTGAAATCACTCTAGTGGATTTTCTAGTGCTGGAGAGGAGTCTAGGAGTTGAGACTAGAAATATTTGTAGAGGGCAGGCTAACAGACATGACATTTGAGGCCTAGTTGTGGGCGCAGAAAACAAGTCTATCATTTCACCAAATGATGCCAGTTTAGCTCTGCATGTGTGCGTCATAGTAATATTAAGTGAAAACTGTGTCCACTCACCCATGTACCTCTGTCTAGAAAATGGTAGGGATGCATTGAGCCTACAAGGATTTCTAATGCAGCTTTACCTCATGCTCCAAATACTGCCTTGATTACAAGCAAAGGTACTAGTCACTCCAAAGCATTTATTTTCTTATTTTTAACACGCTGCTTTCATGTTTATCCTCTTCAGCACCTGATTATAGTGATAACGGGCTCAAACTGGTTGGCTAAGAGAAGAGCTATACAGCAGAAAATTACAGTTTCTAACAAGTCATACATTATTCAATTTCTACCTGTTAATTTTCACATTTAAACAACAACCAAACTGAAGAATAAACACATCTATTATTTTATTAGGAACAGGAAATGTGATGAATTGCTACTTCTGAGTGAATTGACTAGCCACCATCAAAATAAAAATTAATTCCATAACTTTCCCATGTAATATTCCTAATTTGAAAGGAAGTCTTTGTAGCTTCTTATCTGAAAACCCATGTACTCTCAGAATCCTTATAAACTGTAAAAAGAGATAGATTTTCATTGTTGGCAATACTGAGGGTTGAGACAAAAATTAATAAATTGCAGCTGAATTCAGTATATGTAAAAGTTTACTTTAGAGTATAAATATTTTTATGCCAGAATCAGAAAATGGAACAATGTGGATGTAGTCTGAGTCATTATGTAGTCATAAAGAAGGGGAGGACGAGGAGGCGGAGGTGAAGGAGGACGAAGAGGGAAAGAGAGAGGAGGAGAAACATACTAATCAGATGGTATGATAGAACAATTCTCAATTTTACTATTACTGAACAGTTACTATTTACTGAAATTACTGAACAATTTGCTGAAAATTTGTTCAGGCATCTGTGCATTCATACTCATTCATACTCTTCAATAGGGCCCATCACACCGACTCTGGAATTGGCCACATGATTTGCCTTAGTCCATGGGACAAGAAAAAAATATGACAAAAGCAGAAACTTGGAAAGTGCTTGCATATCAGAGCCTGTCTTTTCTTGACACTGGAAACTCTTATGCCCCCAGGGGAAGAAGCCTGGACTAGCTTTCTGGAGGATGAGAGAGCATGTGGCGAAGAGGCTCCCATCATTCCTTCCCTCCCGGTCATCGCATCTGAGGCCACAGACATGAGTGAAACCATGCTAGCACATCCAGTCCCAGTCAAGCTGAAGAAGACCAGAAAAATCACCTACCAAAGCCCAGAACTGGTGGATAATAATAATAAATATAATAAATAATAATAATAACAAATTGGTGTGTTAAGCCAGTATTGTGGTGTTTTTTTCTGTGTAAAAGCTAACACATACAGAAGGGCTGGTCAGCATGGAACACGAGAGACCAGAGTCAGAGAGGCACACCTCAGCAGGCTGTTTCCTGTCCCGTCCAAAGGGAGGGTGCTCAGGCCCAGGTGTGATCTGCATGTTTCTTGGGGCAGGTGTAGCTTTGGTATGTAGGGAAATATGACTGAATGTCATAACCTAGTGTCATCAAAGTTTGAACTGTCCATTTAAATCTCTTTATTCAGAGTCTATGCTCACCAATCCAACTGCAGAATGGAATTCAGCTCCTAGATAGAAATCCGCTATTATGGGGAGAATCTGTTAGTCTTACTAAGATGAATAGTTGACACTGCAGGTTAATTCTTGGTGTCAGCTAAACAACTATTGTTGATATATAATCAAGTTTCTCATGAATTTAGTTAGATACACTCTGTTTTAAGAAATGGATCATCTTCCAGGGCTTTGGGGGCCAAGACAATGCTGACTTCTAACTACATGTGCAATTGACTGAGAATCCCAATTGCTGTGTTCTGAAATCCTATTGTTCCCAAGGCCACGCTACCCAAGAGCTCCTCCCAGCCAATGACCAACTGTGGTCAAGATGCTAAAATAGGCCCATTTCTTGGAGTCACAGGACGCCTCCAACCATGCCTCAGGGATTCCTGGACAGCATTGCTGGACTTTCCTTTAATATCACTGCACCAGGGACATCTAGGAGCTTTCATCTCTCTTTCCTCTGGGTCGGATATTATACTGCAAGTGCTCTCCACTCTTCCTTGGCTCCCTCCTTATTTTTTGGCACAAGAGCATTTCCGTAATAAAATCTTTACATGTTCAATACCATTTTAGCATCTGCTTGTTGAAGGATCCAAGCTAACATGCAGAGTGTTGACAAAATCAAGTTCCTAAGATTACAAAGCTGACAGCTTTGGTAAATCCATTAATGTTAATGCTGGTGGAGCCTATTCCATTCAATACACCTTATGCTGATTAAATTGGACTACTGCTTGCCATACTCTTAAAGATGGTTATATATACACAAATTAAACATGCAACTGATTACTGATAACCAAAAAGGGTAGGAATCACTATCTTTTAAGAGAATAAATTGTATGTTAATTTTTTTAACACTTCACTTAATAAGAAAATATGAAAGAGTCATGGAGTGGACAAACACAATCCATATTTTGGGCTGGAGATTAGAACATTCTCGTTGGCACCGATGAACAGCGGCAACAATGAAAAGGCTAGTGTGTGCAGGTGTGTGGTGAAGTAAGAGAGAGAGAATGTGGACAACCACAATAAATCTGAGAGCACTCTAATGGGAAGTCTGCGGTATGATTGGGAAAAGTAGGAACAAAGTAAGTTTCTAGATGTAGAAATGGCTGGAAGCATAATAACCCCATTAACCAGAGAAAGAAAGGAATGAAGAAATAAAGATCTGGAGGAAGGTGAGCAATTAGTTAGTGTGTTTGGCTGTTAATCAAGATAATTTACATATGGTCTTGATTACTTTAAGTCTAAAATGACAAAGAGGCATCAAGTGTTATCTTAGAAATTCAGATCTGGGTTGGGGGAGTAAAGTTACAGAAATTTTCTTTTTTTTCTTTTTTTCTTTTTGAGGAAGACTAGCCCTGAGCTAACTACTGCCAATCCTCCTCTTTTTGCTGAGGAAGACTGGCCCTGAGCTAACATCCATGCCCATATTCCTCTACTTTATACGTGGGACTCCTACTACAGCATGGCTTTTGCCAAGTGGTGCCATGTCTGCACCCAGGATCTGAACCGGCGAACCCTGGGCCACTGAGAAATGGAATGTGCAAACTTAACTGCTGCGCCATGGGGTCGGCCCCGAAATTTTCTAATTACACTTTTAATGCAAATGCATATCAATAAAGATAATCAGTTGACTTATTAATTGCAATATTTGGATCATTAAATGTTAAATGATGAGGTATTTTAATAAACTCAGGTTTTTCTAATTAGACAATCAAAATATACAAACCACTGTCTTTACAGAAATGAAGCATCTAAATGTTTCAAATAAATACAGAAGAGAAGTTCCTCAAATGCCCAATGGTAAGGATAGTTGAAACTGTAAATATTCTTTAGACTGAATACATTCTGTGTATTACTTTTATAATATAAATATAATTTTCTAAACTCCAAAGTCTATAATTTTATATCATAGTGCTTATTTCCAGTGCTTCCTTAAGCACAGATCTAACTGTGAATTAACCTTTCATCACTAGTACCTGAGTCTACCTGAAGCCAGAACATCCTGCTGAACATTTAATTGTTGCATGTGTTATTGATGCTTCATATATAAAATTTTATACGAGTAAACAAAATATTCCAAGTTTCCCTTGCAAACGTTCTCTTGTCAGAAATCTACTACATATTAGTTCACTTGAGTAGTACTGAGTTCTAAGATTCTGGAGCCATAAAATCATTATACATATGATGGGTGGTGGTAGTTTTATGGCCTTTGTAATTTTTGTGCTCAATTTGCTAACACAGATATTCATTGAAAAGGAAAAGCTCATAAGTAGCAATGATGATAATTTGTATTTTCATGATATTATTTTAGTATTATTTCATATTACTTTAATATTAAAAGACCCT